TGTGTTTAATCCTTTGTTGGGCTGAGGTTGACTGAGGTTAGAACTAAATAGGAGATTACCACATAACAAGTCTAATCAGGTTGAATTTTTTGAAAGCCCTGTTTGCTTTTCCATGCATAAATGCTGCCATGCCTTTTTTCTGTCTCTGTTTTCACATTCTTTCCGGGCTTTAGCTCATGGAAGTAGATGATCTTTAAGGTCCCTTTCAACCAGCACCATTCATGATTCTATAGTACGAAGGTCTCTGAAGGCAGTGTTCCCAAACCATGGTAAAACAGCAGGGCTGGAATTTCCAGTGGCAGCGGTGTGCGTCATGCTGGGCCCGGTGCTGTGGAAAGCAGGAATTGCTCCATGGCACAGTGATGTTGGCCCAGGGCCCTTCCTCACTGAGCTGCCTCAGGCTCAAGTGTGCAGGGCTTGGGGCAAAGCTGTGTTTGTGTTCACAGCATTTCCAGGGCCTGCTGAAGGCTGAGGGGGTGTGACCAAACAGACACAGCATCCAACACATGCTTCCTTCTGTGGCTCCTTAGTCTCTTCAAATACAGGCTACAGGAGGACAAGAAGTGCCTTCAGAAGGGGTAACAGAGGAGGCTTGTACATCTGCCAGAAAGCTGTAGGCGACTTTGGGATGGGAAAGGCTGGGAGCTGCCTGCACTTCCGGTGTGCTGCCTCCTCTCACAGGGCACTGACCTGGGAGGGACCAGCTGAGGCCATACCAGCTAGCATGACTGGATGTTGCATATGAAAGATTTCCCTTTTTCCATATAAAGTAATTTTGAAGGGAAAGTAATCTACCAGCACTTTGGTGGAGTTTATTTTCATACTTGCAATAGCTTGTAAGAATGAACAATGTTCAGCTTTTGCTTGGCATGTCCTCTCGAGGAGTGTTCCCAGCCTGTGTCTGGCCTGGGGCTGTGGCAGGTCAGTGCAGTGAGCAGGAGGGCTGCCTGGCACCCACGTGTACTTCAACCCGTGATACATGGCTTCATGTGTACATGGTCTGGGCATCCATGCACTCCCAAGCACCAGGACATAGCCCACGGTGCTTAATATCCAGCTGAATTTTGCTTTTAGCCACATACCTGGAGGCCCTTGATTTTAGCAAAAAGTTACTGCTCTGCTTGCTGTGTGGTTTTTATTTGATTGTGTGTGTGAATAGCCAAGGAAGATTGGTGAGGAGCCGCTAACCCTCAGCTGTGAGTGACCATCCAGGAATCAGTGAGGGACAGGTGGGTGGGCTGGGAGATGCCAGGTCTCTGCCAGCTGAGCCTGGGCACAGAAGGGGTGCCTGGTGTAGGAGGGGTGTCAGGAAGAGAGGCCAAATAATATCCTCATCGAGGACGCCACAGGCTCTGCTGTGCACATTGCTGTGGCAGAAAAGCAACTGCATATAACAATGGGAGCTCCTTTCCAGATGCTATTTTTGACAGCATAACAGTTCCCTGCTAGCTGCAGAAAAAGTGTTTTCTGCCTCTGTCCCAGGGTGAATGAGCTCTGGGGCTCTGTAAGAAGTGCCTTCCTGGGCCAGGGAGAGCTATTTGTTTTACAAACAATGGGCAGAGCACAGAGGAAATGCTCGAAGTGCCTGTGGAGAGCAGCTGCTCTCCATCAACAGCCTGGGCTGTCATCTTGGTTAAGGAGCTCAAGTGCAGTCAGGGAGCATCTGTACATCCACAGTGTCCTCGGCAGGACAACAGGGACCACTCAGCCACCTTGATGGCGGTGACCATTTTTATGGGCAGGTGCAGCCCTCAGGTCCTCAGGCTGAAGGAAGCTGAGGGAGAAGCCATCCTCTCTGTGGGCAGTGCTGCCAGTAGAGCAGCAAGGCCTCCACGGTGCAGGCTGTAGGATGATGGCAGGGGAACTCCTTGATGGCAAGAATCAAGACATCTGCTCTGTACATGTGGGCTTGTTTCCAGTCCCAGCTTTGCTCCCTTCACAAGAACTCCTGAAGCAAGAGGGGCACTTGGAGGAGGGAATGTCCTCATGTTTCCTGAAGTGCATGCAAGGCTCTGCCATCCTCTGCCTCTCCTGCTGTGTCAAGTTGCCATATCATCTGTCCATCTCTGTCCACTTTGAGGGCTGAGCAGGAGTGGGACCAGCTGAGGCAGCAGGAAGAGTGACTGCCATGTACCTGGGTGTCAGCTCACAATGGTGAGAGTTTTGCTACTGCTGTGGCCAGTTGTGATTTGATGTTAAATCTGATGACTTCTTGGCCTTTCACATTTATTTTTAGTGGCGGAAGAAGCCCAGCTCTAGAGTTTTGGCTGTATGGATTTAGAGTGAAATGTCCAGAGAGAGCACAGTGACTTTTCCCATGACACTTGCTGCATCTCTCAGGATGTGTATTCCCTCCTGGCCTCAGAGCTGTGTCAGACACAGGCAGAGGCCTGTGGATACTTCCAGCTCATTTTACAGCCAAATGTAGAATGTCATGTTCTGCCTGGTTGGATCAGGATGTACAGGATAAGTTTGTAACAGCCAAGCTCTCACTGTGCTGTGACTGCTGTGCCAAGCCAGACTGGGCTTTGCTGTGAAGCTGTGCAGGCAATTCCCCTGTCCAAGAAGGTAAACAATTTCTCCTCACCCAGGAGGTGGGTAAAATTGCTTGTCTCTTTTTCCCTGACAGCAGTTGCTTCTGAAAAAACATGATGTGACATATTCATCCTGGCAGGGTGAATAAACACCTCTGGGCAAGTGAGTGCCTGAACCCTTGGCACAGGGGGAAACTTGTCAGTAACCAAGACTGAGACACCTCAGGCAATGGATTTAGTGATGTGCTGAATGCTGCCAGTTCCCAGCCAGGGGAGAATTGAGCCAGATCCTGGAAGAGCACAGCAATGCCTTAACATCCACCTGGCTCTTAATGTAAGTAAGAGTCATGATCTCTCAGTTTCTGTGGTGAGAGATGGTGATCGATCATTGGCACTTGTGTTTTTCCTGCCTCATGGAAGAACTCCAGTGATAGGATGGTGTCCTACAGGGACAGACATAGTGCTGGCAGCCGGGGACAAGTCCCAAGCTCTGCTTTAGGAAAGCAAATTTGCATTTGGAGGGCTGGACGGCAGAATAACAGCAGCAGCAGGCTTTGCTGGGTGCATATCTGCTGGAGGTCACACATAGAGCACAGATCCAGCTGAGCTGCCTAGGGACATTGTGTCCCATCACACCTTCCAAGCACCTTATTGTCCCTATTGTTTAAGGGACACCAGAAAAAAGAACAGCTAGGCTGTGCAGGAAATGCTGCACTGGGTAAGGGGAGCAGAGTGCATGACCTGAGCTGGCCCCATCCTGCAGATAGCAATGGGCTGGCCACTGTAGAGTGCTCGGGAGGAAACCTTCAGCAGGGTGTTGAAATGCTGCTTAAATCCTCTGCTCAGCCGAGAGACTCATCTTTGTGCTGATGAGGAGCACCTGGATTGTGGTGTCTGCCAGGGAACCAGCCTGTGTGGTGTGGTTTCAAGCATCACCCACAGCTACACATAAAACTTTTCTGCTTCTCCGCAGCTGCCTCCTGTTAAAAATCAGAACTGGAATACTTCTCTAACAGAGAATGCTGAGTGCAGCCACCCCTAATCTCCAAGCAGCTTCCCACCAACAGGCTGTGTACAGTCATTCCTGGAGAGAGAGGTCTTGAAAGAGAAGAGCAAACACTTCTCTGGGTTTGCACCAGCTGCTCAGGAGCAGGGAACCACCTCAGCATCTCTTGGGCTAAAATAGAAGCATGACTGATATTCTTTGGCTGGTGACACTAGTGTGGATCTGCCGCCAGATCATGAGGAGGAAGAAGACGGCAGTTTTCTGCTGGAAGATGTTGGTGCAATGCCATGCACTTAAAACCTGCACCCCACTGTCTGCAACAGGGCTGCAGGGTAGAGTGCATATGCAGGGCTGAAATCAGTGCAAATTCAGGACCCCATAAGGAGCATGAAGACCCATATCTGCCCATCTTTTATGGGACTGGGAATGAGCTGTGTGTGCTCCGTGAGCCAGTATACCCAGGAGCTTCTGTCAGGCTGGCTCTGGAGTACCTGTCTGCATAGGAAATGCCTTCTCCTGATGGAGTGTAATGGGAGGTTTAGTTTCCTGTTACTGCCTTCATCTTCAGAACAGAAGGGGGAAAGCTGTTTGTGGTGTTCTTAGAGCTATCAATAACTGGAAATAAACACTCATGCTCCTGTGGTCTGCACTTCCTATTGCAGGGAATTAATAGTGTGTTTAGCAAAACAGCCTTGCTAAAGAGGGATTGAACAGAAAAGGATTTCTTCCCTTCCTAGGATATGGGTTATATCTCCAGCATTTCCTAGCCTGAGGGATAAACAACTCCAGCCAGATCTGCAAAACAACCCTGGTCCAATCTGCTTTAGAAGCAGCTGGCTATTTAACCAGGAATCTGGAGCTCTCTGGAGAAAAACAGAGCTCTGCATTCACCTTCTCCCTTCCCAGGTCTTGCCCATGGGCAGAGCTCTGCCACCACCCAGCCAGGCTTCTTTGGCTGAGCATTGGTAAAACAGGTAAAACAGGAACAGCACAACATGGAATTCTGCTAGGCCACATTGATATCATGCCAGGAGAAATGATGCTGCAAAGTTGGGCAAGCTCTTCATGGCATGATAAGTGGGATGCACCCTGTCTCTTAGGGATCCTTTCCTCCATGCCAGCTGACTTGGTGACTGCATGGTAAGCAGAGCTCAGCCCCTGAGATAACATAATACAAACAGTATTTCACTTCTAACCTCAGCCTTGTGAGGAGGAGGACTCATCACCTGAACTGCTCAACACTTTTCATTTGGGGCAAGTGTCCAGTGGTCTGGATAGCTCAAGGCTGGGTGTGTGTGTCACTTTGGAGAGAGAAGTGTTGTGATGTGGGATCAGTCTAGTGAACTTTGCTCCTAGCTTCACCTCATCCTCAAAACTGTGACTAGCTCTTATTAAAAGGCTTAGCATGGAGGCAGGCTTGCAGACACCTGGGACTTAAAAGCTTTTCTCCCTTTTTGCAGGACCCTCCATTGTGACTCCTCCTAAGGACATCTGGAATGTGACAGGAGCACAAATCTACCTGAGCTGTGAAGTCATTGGTATCCCAACCCCTGTCCTCATCTGGAACAAGGTAAGGGCCCTACTAGGAGCTCTTACAGCACAGCAAACCTGAGGTGGCTGAAGGTGCCTGGTAAGCACAAAGACCATAGCAGATCTCTGTAGAAATACACTTCTTTGATGACTTCTCTCACCTCTGCAGTTCTGTTCACCTCCACACATCTGGTTTTGCTTAGTTTTCAGATATAATTTAGAAATAATAACTTGTTGATCCTGAGCCAGGACAGGACTCGCGTTTCTCTTGGTAGTGCCTGGTATTTGGAGCATGTAGGGAATGTCTCTTGACCTGCCTTCACCTTCACGCTGCTGGCAGCAGTGACTCTGAGATGGCTAGACATCGCCCATGTCAGGAACAGGAATCACATGGGCTACATTAGCTCCAGTAGCCAGCAGCATGTTGATTTTGGCAGCACTGGTAACATCTGGCTTAGGATGGGGGCCAGTGTTGAATGGAGAGGATCCTGGCCGTAGGGCTGAGAGGCACTGCACGGCTCTTGCAGCCTCCTCAAGCGCCACAGGTTTGCACACACTTGTGAAGGGTCTTAACATTAAGCTGAAACATTACTACTTAAGGTTACTATGAAGAAAAAAAAAACTAGGTAGGCACAAAATTTGCTATAAGACAGCAAGCTTTATTCGTAGGGGTTCAAGAGCAGACTGTCAGGTGAGCATAGTGTGGGCTTGTTGACTCACGCAACACGTTCTGCTTGTTTATGAATAGATACTGAGTTTACACCGACTGTCAGTGCTATTCTGCTTTTCATGGCTCTTCCTCATGGCTGAGAGACTGCTTGACCTGGTGGTAACAAGGGCTGAGCACCACTTATCTTGTGCTGTGCTCTGGGCTCAGATACTGGGAAAGACTGCAGTGCTGCTTTCCTATGGATGCTGTGCCTACCAGGAGGGACTGCCTGGTTTGCTGCAGCAGAAACAGGCACGGCTGAGCACACCCTTGGGAACACACACCAGTTTTGTGAGGCTAGATCAGGACAGGGCATGTTGGCACACACTGCTGCCCAGCACCATCCATCCCAGAAAACAGGGCCACTCTTGCTGCTGAGGGGAGGGGAGCCCAGCCTCAGGGCTGGGGTGGTGTGGCTGCACTACACAGAGCATAAGGTGGAAATCTTGACACTGGGAATACACTGCTGCTGCACAAAACACATTAATGTATATCTAATGTTGATCTGTGTGCAGGTATGCTCAGCATGCTGTTCCAGCACAAGTTAGCCCCTAAGTTCTTACCCATTCCTGCCCCTCTGTCTAGATAATTCGAGGACAGTATGGTGTCCAGAGGATGGAGCTCCTGCCTGGGGACCGGGAGAACTTGGCTATCCAGACCCGTGGGGGCCCTGAGAAACATGAAGTGACTGGCTGGGTGCTGGTAAGTACTCTGTGTGTGCACAGAGCTGCACAGACAGCAGAGTGCTGTTTGCAAACTGCTGATGAACAAAGAACAGCAGACAAATGGCAACAGACAGGGCATTTAGAGGAAAATAGCCTATGTGAGTTAAGAGATGAAGAATAAAGGTGGCTGCTGGTTCCAGTCTTACCTGGTACATGCACCCTTCCTCTGTCTAGCCATGCAGCATTTTGCAGTGTGCATACCACTTGCAAAATCAGAGGGGGAATATTGGGGAGGATAGGGTTTGACACAAGGAAGTTCTTGAAAATACCTGAAAACAGAATCACCTCTACCAGTGCACGAGATGCTCACTGGGGGAGCGGGGTGTGTTTCTTCCCTTAGATATCTCCTCTGAGCAAAGAGGATGCTGGGGAATATGAGTGCCATGCATCAAATGCCAAAGGAGAGGCAACAGCTTCTGCAAAAATCCATGTTGTGGAAACTCTGCATGAAATAGCCCTGACCAAAGGTTGGTAAATGTGGCTGAACACTCAGCAGCTCTCTCCCCTAACAGTTTATTGTTATTTGATGTAAAAGGACTACCTCTGTTTAACGCTTAAATAAAAACAAGAACCAACAAAACCAACTCAACAAACCCTTGCCCCTGCACTAGAAATACCAGTTTAACATGCCATGTTTTGCATTTGACAGAACATTCCAACAAATCTTAGCCACTAGAGTTCTCAAGGGATTGTTAAATAACCTCCCACATACTGTAAAGTACTGGAAATGCTGAATTAACTGGAAACACCTTCTGTTTTTTTTTTTATGGAGCAACTTCCAATGCATTTCCAGCCCTACATTTGTATCATCCTTTCAGTGTTGTTTGATGCTTTCAACCCTGCTCCTCTCTCCTGAGAGCAGTATTGGCACAGCAGACGTTCCAGTTCCTGCCGTGTTCTCTGCATGCTGGGATGTGAAAGCTCAGGAGATTTGCCACAGCACGTCCTCTTTGTTAGGCTGTGTGCAAAGCTAGTGGCAAACCAGCCACCCTCATCCTAGCTGAAGAGGATGGCTCAGTACCACAGCCACATGATATGCTTCAGAATAAATCTGGAGAGCCAAAACAATAACTAACTCATCTAGAGGCAGAGGGACAGGGAATAAAGAACCTGGCTAGAGAATACTGTGCTGCCCAAATCCCCTATTGGACCTAATCCTTAATTTTAATCCCTGCTAGTTTTATCCAAACTATATAGTTTTGACTTTTTGTGTCCTTTTGTCTGTGAAGAGCTAAAATACTTCCCTTGGAAGAACATTAGCAGCACCTGGCACTGAAATGAGAGCTTACAATGGATCCAAATATCATGCACAGGAACTTTGCTAATGTTTTAAGGTAGTCTCTAATCCCTTTTCAAACATTTTATTTACAGATGGGAATGAAATTGAATTTTACTGAGTTGTGCCATGAACAGCAAGCTTATACCCTAGAACAGTTTGTTTCCTGCACACACCCAGCACATGCTACAGCTGGTTCTTTTCAGCTGCTGGAAAGCTCTGAGGCATCTGGAGCTACGTGGTAGATAAATGTAGACTGTCACTTTAAAGGAAATTGATAAAGTTAATGGAACAAACTGCCAGACATTATAGCACCACTGTGGGAGTCTGTGTGCCATGTCCAGGTGATCTCAGCACAGAAAAACGTCTATTATCACCCCCCTGCAGCAGGGAGGGAAGGAAAGAAGGCAGAAAGGAAGGAGGGGTCAGGTCTCATCCTCAGCCAAGAGATCCAAAGCTTTGCCAAAGCTGCAATATTCCCCTTTGGAACAGGACAGAGTGTAACACATTTTTGTTTTTCCACAGATGATGGTGCAGAGCTGTGATGTGAGGACTTTCACTTACGCAGTTTTAAATCAGTATTTTGGAAAGCTGCAAGCTCTGGCTTTTTCTAGCTGACTAATCAGTCCCTCTTAACACCTTTTTTCTCTGAGTCCCAATTTGCTTGCACATTTCTTTCACAGATACAAATAGATTCACAAGCTTGATTACAAATTTTAATTCTATTTACAGGAAATAAACGTACTTTTGAACAGCACACAGCAGATGAGTAAAACTAATTTTGAATGTAACGTGTACAAAATGGCACAAAACCTGAGCACTTGAGTCTCATAATTAAAACAAAAAAGCCCTTTTAAGGCTAAACACTCATCATACGAGGTGCAATACTCATAGACATCAGTTCCTGGAAGAGGAGTTTGCAGGCGTAGGGCATTCGAACCAAAGATATCTGGAAAGGAATTGCAAAAGTCTTGTGATTAACACTCATAAAGGATCAACTTCCACATTCCTCTATACAATTAACTTAGTTGAGTTTTGGCTTAAAAGCAAATTTGAAGTTATGCATGAAAGCGTTTAATGAGAATTGCTCTCAGACACTACCAAAGCAAGAAGGAAGCTTAGACTGTCTGTAGGGGCTACACAGCAGCTCTCCAGAACGCATTTTTAATGTAAAAATGCAGCCAAGGGATCTGATCGTAAACAAGAACCATTTAACAGAACATGTGCATAGCAGTGTGCCTGAGGTGCATAAATGCAGGTAAGGTTTCCAGCACACATCGCTCTGTAACCCCAGTTCCATTGTTCAGAGTTTCAGTAATCAGTCCTTGGCACAAAACCAAGCCTTTTCAAGGCTACTATTTTTGTCTGTTACTGCTGTCCCTTGACATACTTCTCTAACCAAGCATGCACTGCAGAGCTTTTATTAAATTAAAAAAAACCCACCAAAGTGCAGCACAAAAGACCTCCTGTGGGAACCCAGCTCTGCAAGCATAAATATCTTCATGGGACAGTCACAAGGGCGCTGCCTCTAAATTCCTGTGATTCTGAGTTTTACTTCTAAAAATAAGTTCAGAGCATTTAAAGTCTCTGAAAACTCTGCACTGTACAACACTTCAGCAGCATTTCCTGCTAAGTGACAAGCCAACACTAAAATTAATAAGGATGCATCCAAATTGACTACAACACTATAAACACTTAAAACAGTTATGAAACTAAAATAACAATTGTTCTGGCACTTCTTTAAATATTTACTTCCCTATCCTCCTGCTTCACTCAAGTGGCATTTCCTCCTGCCCACAAGGAGAAACAATGGCTTATGAAAAGCACAGGCACCTGAGTTTTATTACGGCATCCACGGCATTCATAGGTGTGAGTCCTCGTGTTTGCAATTGCCATGATTCCACAGAGGTTACACACATGGACCTGGTATGGGTCTGAAGCTTCAAACAGTCTTTCTCTCAAGAACTGGGCTGCTCCATGAGCAATCTGGCAATCTCGTTCCATTTCTCCAAAGCGAAGGCCACCATCACTAAAAGGAAGAAAAAAACCTCTCAACTTTTGAGTTCACTGGAAAATAACCAGTACTTGTTGGTGGAACTAGTATCTGTATTGCAAGGCAGAAGGAGAGCAGTGCATTAATTTTCCTCTAACACCACAGAATAAAACTGTGAAAACAGTAATTAATAACTACTGATAAGCATTTCTACAGCTGGTGTCTGACAGCCACAGCACAACCATACAGCAAAATGAAGTGTATGATTAAGTCATCCTCTGCTTATCTGTGATGGGTTTAACTGTGGCTGTCTACCAGATGTCCACCAAACAGCTCTCTGGTCCCCACTATGTCAGCAGGACATGGGGAGAAAGTAAGATGGAAAAGCTCATGAGTGGAGGTAAAACCAGGGAGATTGCTTATCAATTACTATGACAGACAAAACAGACTCAGCATGGGAAAAATAAGATTATCACCCATTAAAAATGGAGTAGGATGATGAGAAACAAAGACAAAACTAAAAAGGTCACCTCCCCAACCTTCTTCTCAGGTTTACTTCACTTCTTCATTACTAACTCCTTCCTCCCCTCCCCGTGTGGACTGGGAGAATGGGGATGGCAGGCAGTGCATCACAGCTGCTCTTGGCTGCTCCCTTCTCCTCACAAATTTTTCCTGCTCCAGCATATGGCCCCTTCCCATGGGATAGAATCCTTCAGGAACAGACTGCAGCAGCAGGGGTCCCCCACAGAGCATACCTCCTACCAGGAGCCTGCTCCAGCGTGGGCTTTCCACAGCTGCAGGGCAGTTCCTGTTGCATTTCCTCACCCCTCTCTCACAGTTGCTGCACAGCATTTTTTAACCTTTCTTAAATATATTGTCACAGAGGTGCTACCAGCACCACTGCTGGGCTCAGCTCTGGTCAGCACTGGGGCTGCCAGGGCCAGCTGAAAGTGGCTGTGTCCAGCATGGGGCAAGCCCTGGTCCTTTCTCAGAGAGGACACTCCAGCAGTACCTCCTGCTACCAAAAACTTGGCACCTGAACTCCATACAAGATCTTAAACCAATCCCATGAAAAAATGGGGCTATTTGGGGAGAGCTAATTAAGCTGCAATGCTGGAGCAATTACTTGTTCAGGGCTAAAAACTGGACAGAAAAACAAAAGACCATAAAGAAACTAGCAGGGATACTTACCGAGATCTGCCTTCCATGGGCTGTCTGTTAAGGATCTGGATTGGCCCTCGTGCACGAGAATGGATTTTGTCATCCACCATGTGCTTCAAGCGCTGGTAATAGGTAGGGCCAATGAAGATCTGGGATGTGATTTTTCGACCAGTGAAGCCATTGTAGAGGACCTGAAGAAGTCAATGCAATCATCAGCCTTACTTCCCATCACAGGTATATTAAAAAAATTACAGTGGATCGATACTTTGTTTATACCTCATTTCCTCTTAGATGATAGCCATAATCTGATAAAAGGTTGGAAATCTTTTGCACATTGACAGCATCATTAAAAGGTGTAGCATCACCAATTTCTCCTTTGTTTGCAGACACCTACAGAGAAGAGATTTGGAAAAGCTTGTTGGGTTTCTGAAGAATTGGTTAGACATACTTAGCTGTTTCACAGTTGTAACACTTAATAATGGAATTTCAGATTCCATGCTAATGGTAGTATTCTATCTTGCTGTCTTTATCTGCCACATATTTCAAAAAATACACACTATAAACAATTTTGCCTCTCCTTATTCTAGGTCAGGGGAAAATGTCTGGAACAAAAGCAACAGCTGAGAGAGCATACTGTAGGTATGTAGGTAGGACCTAACCTCCTGGATAAAATTTACAGGACTGTACATCTTCCCTAAGAAACCTCCTTTTGTTATCAAATAACTGGAGAACAATCATTTTTAAGATCATTAACACCTACTAGATAGTGTTTATTTTCAGAGGAAAAAAATGCTTAAAGCAAACAACAATCCCCACCAAATTTTAATTTATATTGCTGAGAGATGCAGTGTAGAAGATTGTTCTTACCTTGCCCTGAAGACACTCAATCAAGTGACCAATGGTCATACGGGAAGGGATGGCATGGGGGTTGATAATGATATCAGGTGTGATGCCTTCACATGTGAAGGGCATATCCTAGAGCAGTGAAACACAAAATCAATTCCTCCCAGAACACCATGTTTAGAAAAAGTATGTGCCTGGATCCAAATTATGTCTTTTAAAAAATTTAAAATGCATTGAAATATGTAAAAAGCAGCTGTGTCTCCTTCTAAAAATATTTTAGCTACATTTAAGTCAATATTGCACCTGACAATTCACTTAAGAGAGTTCCAATGCTAAGATCATCACAGGTAAAATCTCCAAGAGGAAGAAAAAGTGAATTACTACCTCTTGCCTGTACTGGATCCCACAGGTTCCTTTCTGACCATGTCTGCTAGCGAATTTATCTCCAATTTGTGGAATTCTTACAGAACGTACCTGCAAGCCACAGGAAAACATGCAATTGGTAACTTAAATACAGACCAAAGATCATTAAAGCAGAAAGAATAAATGTCAGTGCTCACCCTAATCTTGCAGAATTTGTACCCTTCCTGGTTCAGGGTTACCATGACCTGATCCACAATCCCAGTCTCACTGGTCCGCAGGAAGGTACTGCAGTCTCTCTTGGTGAAGCGTCTGTTGGTGCTTTCCAGCTCATCTTCATTTTCTGGCAGTGTGACTGTTTTGCCAATGATGACATCATCCCCAGACACACGTACCCCAGGGGCTATCAAACCATCATCATCAAGTTTGTCATAGATTGCGTGTCTCATACCTCGGGGAAGAAGGAACCAAAAAAGTAGACTCACAAATTTTTCAACATACTGACTCTTGATGTTCTGTAGTAATTCAACAAATCTGCTTGCAGCTTCAGACAACTGCTAAAACATCTAATGTAAATATCTCAACTGATACAGTAATTTCTATGAAATACAGAAATGTCTGTATTAATATATCCCAGAATGAAGACTGAATCAGTTCAATGCTACCTTGCCCACAAAACCTTAATTTTAAAACCACTCCTTTATCCTACCTTGGCAAGTTTCACGTGTAGGCTTTTCAAAAACTTCCTCTTGGTCGTACCCTTTCTTAGACTCCTGCTCTTTGTATGAGCGATAGAACACAGACCTGAAACGAAGTAATGAAGTCTTCTCCAGTGAAGCCAGCATCATTTCCCCCCATATCTCATTTTCACATATTATGGCTACTGTTACTAATGAAAACCAAATCCAAATAGTGAGCACATACCGCATAACCTTTCCTCTGATTTCCTGTTAATCTGACATTCACTGAGGAGGGGAAAACAAAAAAACAACCCACCACACAGAAAAGTTTCAGAGGGCATATTAATGGTCACTTTGCAGTGGCTATCACTTTTGCCAAATCACCTAAGATAACAAGCTAATTTTTGATGAACTGCAAAGACTTTTGTATCTGCTTGACACCACAGATGCAGTTATTACTCCTAATGATAATTCATATCTTTAGCACATCATTTCTCATATTACTTTCCTCCTTATGCATGCAATTTTGCAAACTTTTTTAGGCTTCCACTGCTAGCTTGGAGTGCCACACTCAATACAAATGAGATGCAGTGAAAAGATTCCAGTTTATATAAAGTTCTTTCTGGTGCTTTAAGGTTTTTTGTTTGCTGCTTCAGTTGCCAGCACACCAAAGTGGTTTCAGATACTATAATATATGAAGTCACATCAGCCACCAGCTGT